CGTTACACCTGATCCTAAATTTTCATTGGCTAATTTTGGGTCGGAAGCCCGTTTTCGGAAAATCGATCCTACGCCCTGGTGTTGTTGTCTGACACCATGCTTCACTAGTGTTATATTCAGATTTTCCTTAGAATCGATTATATCAATATTATATTTATACAGTATTTATATTATTCAAATCCAATGTAAATAGTTTTATGCTTACCGACTTAATTGATTATCAGTTATACAAATAATACTGGTTAATTAAATATTCATGAACTTAAATAGCTTATTTAAATAAATCTATTGACAGTTCCTTATACTCACAGACTAAATTAACAAAATTAACGCAATAAAATTAAAATAAATATTTATGAACTTGAATAGGTTACATTAAATACATTGATTATAAATGTTCCTTATACTCACTAACTAAATTAACAAAATTAACGCTGTCACGGGGTAAAAGTGACATTTCCATAAAACGTGACAATGCTAATGAAACTGCGCCTCCAGAAACAAGATTAGATCGTAGAAGGCTTAAGTGATCGTCGATGGACGCAGATCCGAGAATTTCTAAGAAGCGACGATCAATTACCAAAGCCTCTACGATAGCAAAGCCCCCCGTTGCATATAAGAATTATAAACTATATAAAGGACGTTGCAACTTTAGCGGTTGGTAACGACTCTTATGTGCGAGATAGGGGCACATAAGGTTGATCATAATTATCGAATTCCCATTTCCCCAAATCACCAACGTCACGCCTCTGGCGAGAGAGGGCAGCCGATGCTAACGGTTGGACTGAAGACCGCAGGATACAAATAGCCTCAGGCTATTTGAGAAAAACGGCAGCCACTTGGTATAAGGAGCATAAGAACGACTTCCAAGGTTGGAAGGTCAAAAAGAATGGTGAAGAAAACAAAAGCTTCTATCACCTGCTCCAAAAGTCCTTTGTTACCCCGGAAAAATTACACATGTGGCAAGTCGAGTTAAATAACTTGGCTCAGAAAAAGGATGAAAAGGTGGACGCCTACGCCGCCACCTTTAAACGATTGTTAAAGCGAGTTGACCCAAGATCGAATATACCTGCGGATAATATAATCCAAATGTTTTTGGGTGGTCTAAAGGGAGAAAATGCAAAGTTCGTTACTATTTTGTCCCCGGTGACTTTAGATGAAGCGATAGAAGGTGCGCGAAAGGCTGAATTAGGAGAATATTTCGGTCGCTATGCAAAAGGAGAAAAAGAAAAACCCCGATTTACCTTGGCTAAATACTCTGTTGGAACCTCCGAAACGAACCTTATTTGTTTTAGATGTAAAGAAGTCAGCCATGTGTCCCGTGGTTGTAGGTCCGAGAAGAAATTGTCTTTAGCCCTAGAAAAAGATAAAGAAAAAGTTAAAAAAAAAAAAAAAAGCATGTTAGTACAAGACGAATATAGATATGAAAGTAAAACGACACAGATTCGCCGGATGAGGCAGCATTGCAATAACAACGTAGATTCGCCGGATGAGGCAACGTTAAGGTAATAAATCGACACAGATTCGCCGAATGAGGCAGTGTTGTATCGATATTGCCCTGTTAAAAAAAAAAAAAAAATTATTATCTCTTTGATCGTCTGAATTGTACTTGATACGTGCTGTTCGTATGAATGCCCGGAGTTAAAAGACTATAAAGAAAGGAAATAACTTACGAAGTTATTTCTAGTAATAAGAAACTTTTGGTCCTAAAATAAAAAAGGTATATAATGAGCTTTGTAAGAACGCTAACAGTTTTATACTTATGTAATGCTTAGGAAAGGACGTACCTGAATCGTATAATACTCAACTGGCCTAGTCTAATATGTGATCCCGACATAACTATTCAAGGATGGCCAATTAGAATAAGGATACTGACGGTATCCAAGAAATTGACAAGGAAGGTTCTAAGGGAATAATCATGCTTGGTTATTGTTATGAACATAGAATTAATGTTGAAAAGGATGAGAATAAGGCTATCAAAAATCAACAGATACGGAAGATCCTAATGGAATATTTCAAAATTAGAACGAATTTTTTAATTGGTTCCAGAAAGATCCTCGTTCTTTTTCTCATTATGATCTTTATTCAGATGATCTTCTTAATTATGATTCTCATCGGGATCCTGAATACAGTAAATGTACACATTGTAATTAATATAACATAACCAGCGTGGTGTATAACATGTGATCCCGACGTCACAGAACGAGGATGGACAAGTGGAAACAAAGTTATTGATGATTGTATTAAAGAATTTCAATTTAGAACCAATAAATACGAAGATACAATTGAATGGATCCAATTTGATAGATTATCTGATATTAAAGAAATTGGAAAAGGTGGATTTGGCTGTATATTCTGCAACTTGGTTGGATGGAATACAAAAAACGATAAAAGTAAAAGAGATGTGAACCAACTAGCATCGTGCGCTCAAGACCTTGGCCGATATTAAGGAAAATAATTTGTATTTTTTGAAGGAATGAAAGTCATATAATGTGCAAATCAATTTTAGCAATCTTGCAATTTATGGAATAACTAGAAATATAAAAACAAACGAAAATTTGATGGTATTTCAGTATGTTGACAAAGGAAGTCTTCATAAATATTTGAGAAATAATTTTAGAGGACTTACTTAACAGGCTAAATTACAAATAAAGATATTTCACGAGTTATGTATAATTCACGACAATGCAGGATACATTCATGCTAACTTTCACAGTTGGCAATATTTTGCATGACCAACGCAATTATGAAAATGCATAATCGTATATCGCAGATTTGGGATTGCCCAGAAAGAAAGATGATAAAAATGTTTCAGAAGACGATATTTATGGTGTTATGCTCTACATTACTCCAGAAAATAACTGAAGAGTCGAACACTGACGACCATAATTATGACTTCCAATATAACATTTTTATGCATGGTATTATAGTTGTTAGACGAAACCTAGAGGTTTCGCCATTGGCGAAAGGCGAAACCTAGTTTCGACTTTCGCCAAATAAATTTTAAAATGGCGAAATGGCGAAACTGGCGAAAGATGACGAAACTTTCGAAAGGTGGCGAAACTGGCGAAAGGTGACGAAACTAATGAAAGGTGACGAAACTGACAAATGGTGATTTAATAACCGACCAAGCCGCCCTGCATTAGCATAATGCAGGCCAAAATTTCATGCGCTGATTCCTTAGGGTCATCATATGGGTGGAAATTTTTAGTTGGAATGCAAAATTAGGTGATAACAAAGTGATACTCATAAACAGCTTAGCTCAAATGATCCAGGTTCAGGTTAGTTTTGGGGGTATTCTAGCTAATCAGTTCGGAGCACTACTCATAAATTGGATATAAAAACTCATAAGCAACTGATCAAATCATCACTTTTAATCTCAGTAATCACACTATATTTTATATCTTATTGGCTTAGATTCTATTTAATCTCATTGTTTCATATGCGGTGTAGAATCACTTGAGTTCTGCCCATGCCAATTACTGCGGATTAAGATAAATTCTGGCCAGCTTTAAGTTTTAGTTTGGCTGATATTAATGCTAAGAGAAGGACTCTGAAAGTTCTAAGGTAGACTATGAATGAATATAAAAAAACGAGCAAGATTAAGAAAAATTTTAGAACGAATAAGCCGAAAGATTTCGGTTTAGTCAATTAAAATTTTTATTCTTTGCCGTAACTTATAAATTACGGTAATTTTACAACTCTGCGTATAATGCGCATGAAATTTGAAAAATCGTAAATATAACAACTAATAGTGTTCACTATGGTGCATTTTAGTAAAGTCGTAAAAATAAAATTTTATTTAAAATATAAATTTTAGAAATTTTAATTTAATATTTAATTCGTGACCCGCGTAAGAACCAGTGAAATATCATAATAAAAGGTGAATATATTCTTTGCCTTTTTAGAATCTGAAGGTTCCCAAAAGATAACTTATTTTCATTATTAAGTAAACCTCATTTATGCTTCTAATAAAAGTTGTAGGGAAAAAAATTCCATTCATAATGGTTGTCAAAACGCTAAAATCGGCTCGGTGGATCACAAGATATGAGAGTTTTAGTCTTCGCAGCTGTATAATCAAAACAAAGTATCTAAACATATAGCCGCGAAGACTAAAACGCTCATATCTCGTGATCCACTAGGCCGTTTTAACAACCATTATGACTGAAATTTTTTCCTCTACAATTTTTATTAGAAGCAGAGGTTTACTTAATAAAAAAATAAGTTATCTTTTGGAAACCTTCAGATTACAAAAAAGGCAAAATTTAATAGTAAATTTTTCAACTTTTACTATGATGTTTTACTGGTTCCTACGCGGATCACGAATTAAAGCTATAAATTTAAATTTAAAAAATCTAAATAATTTAAACGAAATAAATAAATTTGTTTCTTTTAGAATTGAAAGAAAAAAGTTTTCATTGAATTGATCAAGTAGTTATTGAGAAGTCATTGCAACATCTCAAAGCTTCTAATAAAATAAGCTTACTGGAATTTTTTAAAATTTTGAACAAAGCTATCTCGAAGCTACCAGACCAAATTCGATAAAAAATTTTTTCTAATTCTACGGATTTAAAAATGGCAATAAAAAAAGATTCATTAAATTTTATCAGGTGGATGTTCGAAATTTTGGCGCATCTTTTATTTTAGATGTTTTTAATTGTTTGCTAACTTTCGAGCAATATATCTTGACAAATACCTAGTTAATTTCGATGAAAATTTTTTTGCAAATTCATAGAATTAAAATAAAAAAAATTTCATTGAATTTGATTAGATAGTAGCCGAGATGTAGTGATGGGCATGCGCATGATTTTTTGGATCCCGCGTGGGATTTTTAATATGATCCCCAATTCAGGCCAGCTGGCCCGCATTAACATAATTTTAAGAAACCCACAATGTAATCCTATCCCGCGAGGGATATTTTGGAAAACCGTGATTTGCCTATCACTACCGAGATGTCTTCGTTCAGAGTTTAAAGAACTAACTATTTGATTTTTCAAAACAATATATAGCTAATGAAATTATTTTTTTGTTTATCTCCTTTAGCTTCGCTTTTATAAAGTTCAGATACCAGTCGCTTCGTTTTCACCAGGGTTTCATCTTCACTAGTTCACCGTTCATCAGAGGTTTCGTCTTTCGCCAGAGGTTTCGCCTTTCGCCAGAGGTTTCGTCTTTCGCCAGAGATTTCGCCAGAGTTTCGCCTTTTTTGGGTTTAGGTTTCGTCTTTCGCTATTTTTGTAAAACAGTTTCGCCTAACAACTATAGTCGGGAAGATAATTTTACCTATATACCTGCTAACCCTAACCCTAACCCTAAAGTTAATAATAATTTTATCGTTTTTGTGTAACCTACTCCGCTTTAGACGTTCCCTTTAAGTGGCCGATAAAGGATACAAATCCATATATGGGGGACGTCTAAGAGGAGTAGGTTACACAAAATCGATAAAATTATAATTCACTTTAGGGTTAGGGTTAGGGTTAGCGGGTTTATAGGTAAAATTACCGTCCTGACATTTTTTTATTAGTGTATCAAGACAGGTTTAGTTAGCCGTTTTTTGTATTTTTTGCGTTTTCATTTTTTTTGCTTCGCCGGCTGATCCGGGTCAACAAAAATTCGTGACTTGATTGGTTAATTCACGTGATTCTACTCCGCTTTAGACGACCCCCATATATGGGGGATGGCTAATGCCATGTACCTTAGGGTTAGTTTTTTTGATGCATTTAATAGTTTTATTTATATATAGATATCAAGAACAGAATTTATGCAATATGTAGATCTATATGTGAAGGTACATGGCTTTAGACGATCCCTATATATGGTAATTCAGCGAAGATCAATTATTAGCCTCTCCTGACTTCTGGTTTTAGCTTTATAACAAAGTCGATTTATTCTTAAAAAAAAAAAAAAAAGCAATAATTAATTTCTAAATTCTATAGAATATAACTTTTAGAAACAGTCAATATAAATAAAATTTTTCTTTGATTATTAATCAGTATAGTTGCTGCCATAATTGATTTTCAGAAAAAAATACTATTATAGCACTAAACGTTAATTTTGCTGTAAATACCATAAACTATAATGCTGCAATGCCACAATGCTGTAAAGCTATAAAGCTGTAATGCCGCAATACCGCAATACCATAATTAGAGAAGTCACACAAACCTAATGGTTTTAGTACGTGGCCAAACCCAAATAGCTAAAACTTGGTCAAAATAAAATCCCAAACTATACTGCTATAATGATATAACAATAATAAATATCATGAATTATAGTAAGATTCAGATAATGGTAAGATTAGAAAATTCTATTGGTTAAATTTTGCAGATCATCTATCCCTAATAATGATGCCTCTTAGAACTCAAAATTTTTAAAAGTATCGATATCGAAACTATTTCAAAACTTGTTTTGACAAAATTTTATTTTTGAAATTTCTTGAAACTTAAAACTTTTATTGAAACTTAAAACTTGTATTGAAACTTAAAACTTGTATTGAAACTCAAAACTTATATCAG